AACTGCTTCCTTTTCAATTTCATTGAAGAGTTTGAGGAGTGTTGGTATTATTATCTTCTCTAAATTTCTTGTAAAATTCTGCTGTGAATCCATCAGGGCCTGGGCTTTTCCTTGTTGGTAGGTTTTTAATCACATTTTCAATCTTATTAATTGATATTGGGTCATTCAGGATTTTTATATCTTCTTCACTCAACCTTGGTAATTTGTACATATCTAGGAATCTGTCCATTTCCCCAGTTAGCTTTTGATTAATTAGAAGACAAATGCTGTGTCACAAGTTTTAAAGTTAGATTTATTTGACAGGAAGTTGATTAATCTGTTACACCTCAAACTTAGATTGTATTTATAAAACCATAAAGTTAAGTAACTGAACATATGAAAACACCTCAAGGATTAATATAATCAGTACCAGTTCTGTTAATGTAGCCAGTACCCCCGACAGGGATTACATTAGTGTTTGTCATGTTTGCTTCAGAACTGAGGACACATAATAAATTGTTACCTCCTTGAAGACTTACACCGATTCACTTCTCCATCTCACCATCGTCCCATCCCCAAAACGGAACTTCTGTTCTGAAGGTGGTGTTTTAATTTTCATCTGTATACGTAGACAATACATTATTTTTTAGGACTTTGTGTCTTTTATGAATATACATAGAATATCATGCATTGTTTAATTTGTCATTTTTATTTGTATTTTGAGATTTATCCAAGGTAATAAAATAGTTCTAGTTCACCCAATTTAACTCTTGTGTAGTATTTTATCATATATGTGTCCCATAATTACTTAAACCATTACATGACTTTAATTTCTTTCCATTTTACATTATTATTGTGCTTCCGTATCAAAAGTTTTTTTTTCCAGGGTTATGCTATACATTTATTGGGAGATAAAACAATCTACAAATTCAATGCAATCCTTATTGAAATACCAGTGATATCCTTAAAAGAACTAGAAAAAAAGTCCTAAAATTTGTGTAGAACCACAAAACACCTTGAACAGCCCAAGGAATCTTGAATAAGAACAAGAAGTCAGGAGACATTGCGTCAAAATATGTTACAAAGCTGTAGCGATGAAGCGTCTTGGTTTTGTCCTAAAAGCACATGCGTAGACCAGTGGCACAGCACAGTGTACGGCACACCCACGATTCTCTAGCCGCTGCTTCCAGGAAAGGCATTAGGAAGGCGTACACACTGATGGAAGGGTAGTATTTTCAGCAAACCGTGCTAGGAAAATTGGATATACCCATGCAGAAGAATGAAACCAAACCTGTATTTCTCACTAGTTACAAAAATCTGCTCAAACTCCATTAGACTGAAGACCTACAACTGTGAAACTACTAAAAGAGGCAGGCAGGAGAAATGCTTCAGGACGCTGGAATGGGCAGATTCTTTTTGAAAAAGACCCCAGCAGTACAAGAAACAAAAGTGGAAATAGATGAATGGTGTATATCACACCAAACACCTTTTGCACAATAAAAGAAGCAAAGGTTTTTGGACATCTGCTTGCTTGTCTAGTAATTTCTCTCAACCTTTGAAATTAATTTGCCAATTTGAAAGAAAAAAATTCCTTTAGACAATGGATTTTCAGCACCTTCCCTTAATATCTGGGACCTCATTTTCTTTTTTTTCTTCCTTTTTGTTTGTGTTTTTTTGGGACAAGGTCTCGCTGTGCAGTTCAGACTGGCCTCCAGCTCACTTTGTAGCCCAGGCTGGCCGCAAACTTGCAGTGCTTCTCCTACCTCAGCCTCCCAAGTGCTGGGATTACGGGCGTGCACGACTGCGCCCGGCTCTGACCTCATTTTCATGAGGAGAACACACCCACATGTTTCTGCTCACAGGTTCTGAAGAGGTATGAGAGACAGTCAGGTTTAGATTGGCTGCACGCAGGACGATCGAGAAAACACATCTAGGGGCTGGGGATTTAGCTCAGTGGCAAAGCGTCTGCCTGGCAAGCGCAAGGTCGTGAGTTCGGTTCCCGGTACCGAAAAAAAACCACCCCCCCCCCCCAAAAAAAAAGAGAAAACACATCTACACTGAGGCCGACCGCGTTCCTAGAATAAGTACATATTTTTTATTGTCAGTTGTTAAAGCCCCAAGTTAGAGTATTTAAACTTTATAAAAAATTTAAATGTGTGGTTTATAGAAGCAGTTAAGGAAAACACAGCTATCACTTTATTTACAGACAGGAAAAACAGGACATTTTGACTGCACCATTTTAATGTCAAGGAGGTATGACAACTCAAATAGAACAAAATAACTGAAACTTACCAGAAATTGTTTTGAAGACACATGTTTAAGGCACTCATATTACTGTGGAAATTGGCAACAACTTTGGTTCCCTAATGGATCTGGTCCACGTATGAAAGATTAGTCAACGTTGTCCTTAGGGGAAGGAATTTAATTGAAGTTATGCATTATCATATTAGAGAAGATTGAACCAGGGCCTTTGCACTGAGATACATCCCCAGCTCTTTTTTTAATTTTGTTTTTGAGACAAGGTCGTACTAAGTCACTAAGTTGCTAAACTTGTGATCCTCTGCCTTAGCCTTCCAGCGTGCTGGGATTACAAACGTATGTCAACATGCCTGGCTCTTGGAGGAAGAACTTCTAGTGACTTTTTTCACCTGCTATTCTAGAGCTGCTTATGTTCTTTGAGGATATTATTTTGAAGTTATTTCCTCTTCACATATCTCTTTCTCTACCTTACCCGCCGCCCCGTTAAATTTTAGACTTCATCTCTTAGGTTGGAGGATTTTTTCAGGCACATTATCACATTTTGTTGATTTTTGCAATAGAATTATGTGGCCAGGTATTTGAAGCAGATATATGCATATATAACCATCCCCATTTCTCCACCTAATTTAAGTAAAAAGTAGGAAATCTTATCTTCCTATAACCGTTAAATAAATTGAGTCATTGTCAGAAACTTCAGGCCCATATTACTTTAGCAAGGAATGAAGAGATTTAAAGAACAAATAAACTCCTCCAGAGAATGGAAAAATATTTATAGTCTTAATCTTAATTCCTAACCGATGAGAATACAAGAAAAGATATTTATGAATAATGTTATTCATGAATATGCATGCAAAAATATTATACAAGTATTAGCCAATGCCAAGTACCAAAATTTAAAAAAGATAAAATATAAAAATATACAGTAAATCTCAGGTAGGTTTAACATTAGAAAATCAAAGTAGTTTATCTGAATATAGTCAGTTGGCTTAACATGGCTTCTTGAAATAGAATTCCTGAAAACTCTACTATTTGAGGGCAGTATCTTTTCCATAGAAATGTGTGTTTGTGTGTGTTTTTATGTCTGTATCAATAAATGAATAAGAAGTGTAATTGTTGACTTCTTAACTTCTGTCTGGAAAATACAATTGGTAGATTAGTTTCATCTACATCTTCAAATACTCTTATTTAGAAGCGATTTACAGACTAAACATAATAAGGTCTGATTAGCCTTTGGTTTTCCAGGTTCAAAAAAAATAAGATTCAATTCAATTCACAGGGAAAAATGGACACAATCTTTGTTTAGTATAATGGAGTTTAGAAAGATTATATGTTATCTTTACTATTTGTCAATAAAATGGGATTACAAGTCATAAGTCCCATTTTCTTTCTTTCTTCTCCCAACTTCCTTGTACTCACATCTTTCTTGATGGACTGTTGCCTATGTTTTCTTACAGATAAATCCCATAAGACTTCCTGATTAATTTTTTTGTGGTGCGAGGGATTCAACCCAGTGCCTTGTGCGTGGTGCGCAAGCATTGTACCACTGAACCACACCCCCAGTGCATCCTGAATAATTTCCTTTACTTTGATTAATAAATATTTTATGAGGAAATTACCATCAAAAAGGATGTAAACATCTTTCGGTTATTGACTCTTGCTTTATTTTTATTTCAAATTATTTGGTTTACTTTGTGATTAAGCTTGTAAATTGCTGTCTATACACATTAAAGGATACGTAGTATGTAAGTGGAGAATTAAGAGCTGGAGACTGTGTATTTTAAGTGGAGAAAGCATGTAATTTAACAGTGATTTTGGATAAATAGTGGTGCTATTGACTGCTTGAAAGAGAGAACTGTCATGTAGAATAATGGTTTCTTGTTTAGTGCATAATGTGTTCGAGAGGGTTTTTGTATGTAGAAGTGACACCCACACTACAGTCTCAGAAAGAGTTACACTTGAGAATCACAGACCCAGAATTGGATGTCTTTTGAGTGGCCAGGAACTCTGGGGAACGTGCGTTGATGTGCCTGTGTGCGTGTGTGAGCCCGAGTGTGCTGTGAGGAAGAGCGAGAAGGCGCTCCGGACAGGCTGAGCGGGAGTGACGTGGAAACCGTCTCTGATACCTGTCAGCTCTGTTTGGACTTCAGCTCTGATTTCTGAGTTCAGCTAGAAAAGGGGATGGAGAGATTTGAGTAGAAGACTATCTTTAGGTATTTTTTCAGTAGTATAGCAAAGATGTGAACACTTTCTGAAAATTGAAGAAGAAATGAAACACAGCCATCTAGTGGATGCAACTTTTGAAAGCTATCAGCCTGAACTATATGTTTATAAAAATTTCTCAGGGTCATTATTAAGCCTTCAGACCAGTCATTCCTTATTACACAAAGGGACCATATATGCTGGAACTACTGAATACTTTATAATTTAATCAGAAGGGTAAACATTATGTATGGGGCAGTTGAACTGCAGCATTATGTAAGTACCCTCAGAGGCCAGTTGAACTACTATAGCATTCTAGTCTGCTGTTTACATTTTCAGCTGTAAAAGGAATGTCAGATTTTTAAATTCTAAAACTCCAATAGTGCTTTTTAAAAGGTGTATTTTGCAACATTGTGGAAGAATACATAGGCCTCTCTTGTGTATATAAATTAACATATTATGATTGAAGCATAGATATATTGTCATTTTTTGTAGGGTAATTTTTAGTCATTGATGTTGTATAAACTTTATTGATACAAAAATTAATTCTTTTGCAGGAGCAAGACAGTGCTGTGCAAAGTATGCAGAAGAAAGTAGCACAGTTAGAGAGAGAACATACGGAATGCTCTGACCTTCTACAGAGACAAACGAGTGAACTTGAATTTAGTACTCAACGAGAGGAACGTCTTAGGAAAGAATTTGAGGTGGCTTCTATCATTCTTTTATAACATATATGTTATTAATGTTTAAGATTAGAGAACATATTATATCACAATAAGCATAGAATAATTTTGGGGAACACTTATGTTTTATGTTTGGCTTGTTTGAAAATGTCTGTACCTGAACAAAGGATTTTCTGTTTTCCCAAGCTTAAAATCTGTCATTTTAAACATATACTTCTCATGGAGTATTGGGCAGTATGACTGTTCATAAGGCTGAGGAAGCAACATAGGAAAAGATTTAGTGTAGTTGGATCTGAAGTGGCAAAAATAATATTAAATACAAATTTTGTTGTTTGAATAATTTTTACTAGCTGGTTTTGTGGATAATTTTAAGGTGAGACTTCAGATGAGAAAGGAGGATCAGTGTACAAATGAAAAATATGATTTAGTTTGTGTCCTGTAAGTTCACCCACAGCCAGGTGTGGTGGCGCACACCTGTGACCCCAGCCCTCAGGAGGCTGAGGCTGTACAGTGAGCTCAAGAGCAGCCGGAACTACACAGAGAGACCCTGTCTCAAAACAAAAACCAGGAAAACAAAAAACCAAAAGGACAAACCCCCCGACAAAACCAAAAGGCCAAAACCCCAAATCCACCCGTATAAAATCCAGTAGTTTTTAGTATATTCACAGGGTTGTACAACCATCATCACGGTCAACTTTAGAACATTTCTACCACCCTGATAAAAAATCTACCCAAATACCCATTAGCTGTCACTGTCCTATTTTGGCATCCCTCTGGGCCCATGCAACTATGAATCTACAGTCTGTCTCTATAGATTTGCCTATTCTGTGTGGAATTATAATAAGTAGTCTTTTTTGACTGACTTTATCACTTAGCACAGTTTTTTTTTTTTTTTTTTAATAGGGTCTCACTATAGTTCAGATGGGTCTTGAACTCACTTGTGTAACCCAGGCTGGCCTCGAACTCAGGGCGATCCTCCTGCCTGAGCCTCCGAAGTGCTGGGATTGCAGGTGTATGCCACCACACCTGGCAGCACAATGTTTTCAGTGCTCATCCATGTTGTAGCATGTACCAGCTTCTTCTTATCACTGAACGTATGATAGACCACATTGTGCTATGCATATATTAGCTGATGAATATTTGTTTTGTTTCTACTTTTTGGTTATCAGTAATAATACTCTGAGAATGTTCCTGTACAAGTGTTATCACTTCTCCTTTTCATCTAGGAATGGGCTATCTGGGTCACATGGTCTCTCTGGGATTACTACCTTTTTAAGCGCCAGACTATTTTGTACCATTTAACGTTCCTACTAGCAATGTGTTAGGGTTCCAGTTTGTCCGCATCTTCACCAATACTTGCTAACGTCCGTCTTTTTATTATAAGCACCCTCTTGGGTTTGAAATAGTATCTGTCTTGTCACTTTCCTTGTCGCTGGGAGAAAATGCCCAGCACCTGAGACTTAGAGGAGGAGCTGTGTTTTGGCTGACGTTTTAGAAGCTTCAGTCCTTGCATAGTGGGAGGGAAAAGGCCTGGGTCGAGGAGAGCTGCTCGAGTCCTAGCAGCAAGAAGGCGGAGTCAGAAGAGCCAGGAAGGGAGCTGTGCCCTCTGGGTCAAGCCCTCAGGGACAAGCCCTCAGGGACCCGCCCATTCCGATCGGACCCCCGCCTCCTAACAGCGGCTGGGCGCTGATGCCCTAGGACCCAGTCATCTTCCAAACAAGAGGCGTGGGGGCTTGTGCTGTGTGTGTGGGGGGCATTTCAGATCTAAAGCACAAAAGTATCTCTGCTTTGTTTCTTTCCAGTGACTAATGGTGTTAAACAATGACTAATGGTGTTAAATACCATTTTGTGTGCTTATTGGTCATTTGTATTGTTCTCTTTGGAGAAATATCTATTCAGATCTCTTTTTCATATTTAGAATGGAGTATTTGTACCATACTAATATAACATGTTAACTGTGAAAACTAGGTTTGGGGTATATATAGGAATTCTCAGTAGTAATGCTAACTATGATCTGGGCAAAGATAAAATTACACTCTTACCATACATAACCTATTTTTTTTTTTTTATAAGGTTAGAAAATAAGTTACAAATGAAATTATAGCTTAAGTAATATTTTAACTGCCAGGCATGGTGGTGCAAGTTTGTAATCCCAGCACTTAGGAGGCTGAGGCAGGAGGATTGCCATGAGTCTGAGGCCAGCCTGGGTAATATAGTGAGTTTAAGGCCAGCCTAAACTACATAGCAAAACTCAAAAAGTAAAACAGAAAACTTTTTAAAATTTATTTTTCATAGTGTTTAGTATGCTTTCAGGCCAATACATTTAAGAATGTTGATCATAATTTATATCACCATTTAAAAATACTATGTAGTTTATAAGTGACTTTATAAAGAGGATTAGCATAGACTTAATATTTTGAATATTAGAATAAAAATTTAGATGTCACTTCAGGATGCTATAAAATCCTATGATCATCACTAAAAACATCTTAATGGCCTTCTAGTTGTGAAGAACTACTAGTTAGTTGTGATTTCTTTTTGGTTGGTAAAATTTTTCATAAGCCAGTTCTGTCTAAATTTGAAAAACTAAAATGTTGTGAATAAAGTGGTTTTGACTTTTTCTTCTGCAGAATATTTAATTGTGATATCTTTTCTATTGGTTTATGTTACAAATATTTAGACTAGTTTTGTTTTTACTATATGGTTCTTCTTAGCTAATTGGTAAATTTTTTTATGGTAGGAGGTCTGTGCTTTTGGGCAGTTTGAAGCTTTGGAGGTATCCTAGATATACCTATTATTATTCTGTTTATAAGAAGTAGGCAAGTCTAATCTTTTGAGTTACCTATGATTCTTCATATTTAGATACCTATAACATTTCTCTCTGTTTTTAAGTGAATATATTTTGTATTAGCTATTTGTCTACATGGTGACATAATGAACAAGAAGTTAAATTTCTAGTGAACATTTTATACTATTTTCATTCAATTTTGGAGACATTACCAGTAATTCTAGTTATTTAGATAATTACTTAAGTTGTATTTTCAGAGATACTGAGATAATAAGAGGAAAATTTTTAATTTTAATTTAAGTAAACACATTTTTAGTATCACTAATACCAGATTGAAAGTAACCAATAGTAGATGTTTAGCATAATGTAAAATGTTCTAGCTTTCAGTGAAGCTTTTTAATAGTTATGTTTCATGAAGGGTGATTTCTTTATGTGCTTGAGTCAAAGAAATATCTCTATATATAATATATATTTTTAAAATCTGATAAACTGTATACCATTGTGTGGCTTAATCATTATAACATGGATCAATGGTTTCTTAGATTAAAAAAAAAACAAACTCCCAGTCCAATTTTATAAGTGTGGTGCTGGAAACCACAGGATCAAGGGAAAAGTGAACTGGAAAAAGAAATATCTATGGCTTTTATAAGCCTCTTTACAACAAGGGGAGTTTATTATCATGGGAAATAAGCTTAACTCAATAAGAAAAGAGAAAAGAGAAGATGCAAACCTAATTCTGAGAAAATAGAAGAGTCTTGAAGATTACAGTGGAGAGAGGAGTCTTTGCAAATGAATTCTGAATTGCTTCTGTCAGTCATATGCTATATTGTAGTCACAAAAAGAAGCATAGAAAGTAGCATTTATATCTAAATGTAAGTGAAAAAGGAAAAGAAAAATATATTTCACTTCTCGCAATTTCATATATTTCACGGAGGTAGCCTTGTATAATCCATCTTTTTAGAACCATCGTGTGTTTGTAGGAGTCATATGAAGTAGTAATGATGAAATCACTGGGGATGTATGGTCACACGTACAGTCATTACATATTTAAGTACAACATTTTATATTCATAATTGATTTAAAAGATTTTTTAAATTGATTTTTTTGTTGCCAGAAAAGGTAAAGACAATTTTTAAAAGAAGCGAAATTGGTTTATTACTATGGTAATCAGAATTTGCGACCCACAAATTCTATTCTTAATACTTCCTATTTTTTTTTTTACTACTCTTAAAAGTAGTAGAATTTTTTCCATGAAAGTACTTTCACCAGTTCAGTGATGGAGTTCATTACTCGTTTCTTGCGAATGAGAAGAGTGGTGTGCTCTCCGATACGTTCTGTCATCCCACTGCTCTAATGTGTACTTTTTGAAACTTGCAGGGTTTTGTTGCTGTTGTGACTTTAGCTTTTTTCCTGCCCTCCAAGTGCACACGGACTGTGGGCAAGACTACCAAGACAGACAGCCCTACGTATCTGTGTTCAGCTAGTTTCTTCACACTGCTATCAAGAGTGAGGGTTGCTTTAAGCAGGTTGTTTATGTGAAATACTCTAGAAGATTCTGGAAACAAGTGTGATTTGGCCATTAATAAAGCAATTACAAGTGAATTGTCACAACAGAGAAATATACGGAATGCCTCTTAGGGACAAATCAATTTTCTTTTGTAACACAGGCCTTTTCTTACTTGGAGTGGAAATGCTCTTAGAGGTGTCAGTACCCACTTTGACCTTTTCAGCTCAGGGCCCTGTGTAGTGTCTGGGATGTCACGGGCACTTTTTAAATGTGGCACTTCTTCTTTCTGGTTGACCGTTACAGTATAATATGTGGTAATGAGATTATCATGCAAAAAGTATAAACATATTCACTTATATGTAATGATCTTTTAAGTGTCTCTATACAGTAGCATTTGCTTAGCAGGTTTAACTTTACCACATTTGGACTTCTGTTACTACTGTACAATTCAGTAGATCGGACTTCCCTGACGAGGAAAGTAGCTGTTCTTCTACACAGCAGTTCCCGTGTTCTGGCTCACAAAGCAGCATTAATTTTGCCTCTGAGTAGAGTTGTTCTTACATACTGTGCTGGCTACACGGAAAATAAGAGTACTACTTAAACACACTCCCTTTAAACTAGAATGCCTCATGATTTGAAATATTATATACTATGTAGTATAGTCTTTTTGGGTAAAGCATACCATGTTATTATAAAAGTCAAATAAATACAAAAGACTTGTTTGAAAACTGTAGAATATTAACATTCAGCTGTAGGATTTATATCAGTGACAGTGTGACTGTATTCTCTCATGTAGAAGTGACACTAAGCAGAACAAATGCTTACTTAAAGGTCCCTCATTAAATGTCAGAGTAATATGGCTTCTTAAGGTATTTGATTAAAACAAGGATGATAATTAGTAAAGGTCTCATAGATTGTTCTTAGCTATATCCCTGGAAACTTTGGCTCTTTTTGGTGTCTCTTGGTAATGAAAAATAATTTGAGCACTTCATTTTTAGAGTTTGAAGTACAGCAACTATTTTCCCTCTCATTTGGCTGAGGAGTAAGTATTGTAGATAACTATTAACATGTAAAAATGATTTAGAGTCATTAAAACACAACAAAATAAAATGTGCTTAGCACTGAAATAGCCATTGTAAAATTGGTTTATGATGATCAGTCCCTTAGAATGATCTTTTTGAAGATGGATCACTACCATATTGTTTACTTGTAAAAGTGTCCAGTAATGGAAATTATCAGGTGAAAAATTCTGAAAAAAATAGTTAAATAAACAGTTACTTTCTATTTACACAAATTGTTGGACATTCTGGGATAAACTTCGTAACTGTTTAGGAAAGAGTGCTATATACCTATATACTACTGAGAAAGTGCTCTCTACTATGTACTTGTATGATGCTTCCTCTATTTTTCTTGATGTCTGTTTTAGCAGGCTAGATTTTATAGACAAAAGGTTTTTGCTTGACTAATTCCCTTATTTACATATATCCTCTTCAGTTGCATATATTGTAGTTGAGGAAAGAAAGTAGTAGGAACTTCGTGTGTGTTTGCTGTCTTTCAGCATATCCGTTACACACACATTTTCTGAACTTTTGGAGTAGGCCCGTGGAAGCTGCAGAAGCAGGTGTGGTGTGTGGGACATCTGGGTATGTTTGGTTTGTTCTGATGCTGAATTAGAGTGGGCAGCTCATGCCTGGTTTATGATAAAGTAACAGGTGCCAGAGTGTTGGGGTAGGAGATGTCTTTCTTTACATTGCCTTCTTCAGCAGTGGAAAGCTGGTTTTTTTTTTTTTTTAATCTTTTTGAGACAGGGTTTCACTCTGTAGCCCAGGCTGGGCATGGGACATGGCAAACAGCTAATAAAGGATAAAATATGAACAGATTTAATATAGTTTAATAATTGTATTAGAAGCAAAACTGTATATGGTTAACTCACCTGATTAATTAAATATGTGAATCTGTATTGATATTGTGTTTTAATCAGGATTCTGTTGTGCTTTATGCCTTGGCTTTGTTGATTGCATTGGGAGTAAATGCTGGTGAGGCGTTTTAGGAATGTTGCGCTAATTTTTTTTAGTGAACAGCACGTTGATGTTTCTCTAGCACCCTCTGGTGGATATAATAATTAATTTGCCAGACTGGAAGATTAAAAAAAATTATCAGGAAAGCTTTAATTATTCTAGCAACAAAGTCCACTCTTGGAAGTAGTCTGTTTAAACATTTAAAGATTTTCTTACTATCCTTTTTAATTTATTGATAGTTGCAGTAATAATAAACAGCTTATAAATTTGTTTTCTTTCTGACGTTTTATTCAAAACAGAAAGGTGTTGAAAATAGAGATTTGATCTCTTAGTTTTTCGACCATGTGGTTACAGTTAAGACAGGAAAAAACAGATCCTCTTAACTTCCTGAGTGGAAATATATATATATATGATTGGATTTTTTTTTTTTTTCCGGTACCGGGAATCGAACTCACGACCTTGCGCTTGTCAGGCAGGCAGTGTGCCACTGAGCTAAATCCCCAGCCCCATGATGGGATTGTTAATTGCTTTTTGGTTTTTTTTTTTTTTCCCCCTGGTACTGGGAATTGAACTCACAATCTCACGCTTGCCAGGCAGGCACTATGCCACTGAGCTAAATCCCCACCCCCTGTTAATTGCTTTTTTACAGAGTATATATTAAGAAAACATATGATTGTCCCTTTAATAGAGAAATCTACATATATGCTTTTTGGAATGAGAAAAAAAGTATTTTAATTTTGTTAAGATAATTTCTTTCTTCTCTCCCTTAATAGTTTTAAAAATCTTTTATTTTCTACCCGTATGGACTATTTCTTTGTGACTGGCTAGACTCCTATTTACAGAATCTGTAATGAGCATAGTAGATACTGACTAATTCAACATTAATTCCTTTTTTTTTTTTTTTTTGACTTTTTGAGACAGGGTCTCATTATGCAGCTCAGGCTGGCCTTGAACTCACTTTGTAAGCCAGGCTGGCCTCAAACTTGCAATGATCCTCCTGCCTCAGCCTCCATAGTGCTGGGATTATAGGTGTGCGCCACTACTCCTGGCCAACATTAATTCCTTAAAGGCAAATACTTTATCCTGTAAGGCATATATAAGTTTTTTTTATTAGTATTGGCTCTGCCTAGGTTAATACGTCTTCTAGTCTGGTTTAACATAAGGATTTCTTTGCTATAAGTGTGCAGCATGCTTTATAAAGCACCCCCCAGTCTTTGGGTGTCCCTGTTCTAAGGAGGAAAGGTCAGTAGTTAAAAGGATTTTTTCACCAATGGGAACAAAAGTTTAAGGTATTTGGTTGTCATTTGTTGGACGTTATTCTTGACCTTTCTATTCTTTTGTTTTTTAATTGATAAGTATTTTGCATATCATATAATTCACCTTTATAGAGTATATAATTCATTGGTTTTTAAATGTATTCAGTAAGGGAGGTAAAGTTAATGATGTGTTTATCACTACTGAACTATCTATGTTTGACTAATACGCTACCAGGGATTTTTGCTGTTACCCTGAGACGTGTTGGGTGTTCCTTAGTCCTAATTTCCCTGCTCCTGAGATGCTGTTGGTCATGACCAGTTCTCCTTTAGAGACTAGGGGCCCAGTGCTTCGCAGGGTTGCATTTTCTCAATAATAATAGTATTAATGCAGCTTTCCACTCCTGTTTTGGCCCAGAAATGGATTCCTGCTTGAAAAATTAGACTTCATTGTAACAAAAAATTTGCTGTATGAAAGACACTGTTAAAAGAATGAAAAGACAATATGTAGATTTGTAGAAAATATTTGCAAATTGTATATCCAAGAAAAATGCATGCAAATTATTTAAGGAACTTTCAAAACTCAACAGTGTGACAATAACCAATTAAAAAGCGCGGGGTGCTGGGGATGTAGCGCAGTGAGACAGCTCTTACGCAGCACGTGCAGGACCCGGGGTTCGCACACACAAGACCTGCGTTCCGTGCCCACTCACAACGCCGGCAGAGACTGTTTTCTTTTTGTATTTATTGCACGTGTGTGCAGTACGTAATGATGACAGTCATCGGGGGAGTTGTGCGTGCACATAACACGTTTCAGGCCTTTTTCCATCAGCTCCCTTCCTCACTGCCCTCCCCTTCCTCCCTCTCCTGGTTCCCTTCCCCTCTGCAAAAGCCCTGTATCTGTGAACAACACAGATCTGAGTAAGTACTTCGTCTCAGGAGCCGTGCAGATGAAAAGATGCCCAGTGTCACTGTTACTAGGGAAACTGAAAGGACATACTAAAACAACAACAGAAGTGACTGCACAAGTGGTAGTGAGGATGTGGGACAGTGGAAAATGTACACTGCTGTTAGGAATGCACGTGGTTGTCACCACTTAGGACAGTTGTGGCAGTTTTAGAAACTATTCAGTGTACCTGGTGTTATCCTAGCCATTCTGCTCTTCCCTACTTACCCTGGAGAACTGAAAAGGACTAAAAAGACTTGTGTAGAAATGTTCAAGCACTTTATTTGTATTTACTTAGTAGCCTAACCTAGAAACAATCCCATGTCTGTGCTGTCAGCAGGTGAGTAGAGAACCTGGCTGTGGTGATGAGTGCAGTGGAGCACTGTTTAAGAGTACAAAGGAGTACATTATGACATGTGCAGCTGTATACGTGAAATCTCAAAGTACTTAGCAAGGGGACGGTGGCCAGGCCGTGCAGGGTACACATGGGCAGATTTAATTTATGGAAAGTTTCAGAAAATACAAGCTGCTTTATAGTGACAGCAAGCAGACCTGTGCTTATGTGGGTGGGTGGCAGGGCTGCAGGAAAGCATTACCAAGGTCAGAAAGAATCTTCGTGATGGGAGTGGTTCCCAGAAAAGCTTAGAAAGGAAAAACCCATCGTGGAGCAGTCTTTCTGAGCATGATTTTTACGCTTCACTCCTGCAGAGCACGAAATTGAGGGTATAGCTAGAGTAATCTAAAGTGTTAATTACATTTCTGCAATATACTGATCTGTATCTGCTTTAACTGTCAGTGTTTCTGAGCTACACTTTTTTTTTTTTTTTTTTTTAAATGGAGACAGGCTTTCACTATGCAGCTCAGTCTGGCCTTGAATTCACTAGGTAACCCAGGCTGGCCTTGAACTCGCAACAAGCTTCCTGCCTCAGCCTCCTGAATGTTGGGAGTATTGGTGTGTTCCACCTTGCTGGGCTATTAGTTAAACTTTTAATTTGTTTTTAGGCAACTACCCTGAGAATGAGGAAATTAGAAGAAAGCATTGAAGTGGAAAGAGAAGCACATTTGGAATCTAAATTTAATTCTGAAATTATTCAGGTAAAATGTTCAGATATTTACGGTATACATTTTCTTAAATTGTGTTATAACGGGAAACCAGAGCTACTTTCAGAAGACTGGGGTGGGCATCTAGAATGGGTACTGCATTGTTACGAGACTTGCTATATTTAGGGTGAGGGCCCGTCTGAGGAGTCGGCACACTCAGCCTTGAGGTTGGTCCCACCTACTGTCTGTTCTTGGAAAATTTGGTTTCTCTTATGGTTGCTTTTGTGCTACAGCAGTAGATTATAGTAGGGACGGAGCCGGGGCCAGTTTACTTGAAGCCTCCCATCACTGTAGTGGAATATCTGAGACAACCAACGTAAAAGGCCACAGGATCATTTTGGCTCCTTGTTTGGAGCTCCCCGCTCACGATCCAGTGGCCTCATCTCTCTGGGCCTCTGGTGAGGCAGCACATCGTGGTAGGGGCGTGTGGTGCAGCCAGCTGCTCACTTGAGAGAGAAAGCAGAGCCTGCGGAGGAGGGAGTGGGGCCCATGGCCCTCTTCAAAAGCTGGCCCCCAGTAACCCAAGCACCTCCCAGAAGGCCCTCTTCCTGAGGGTCCTTGGCACCTCTGAGTAGAGCCATCCTGAGCACCAAGCCTTTAACCCTTGGATCTGAGGAAGCATCCCATATCCAAGTTAGAGCACACTGTGAAGCATGAAATATTTACCATCTGGCCCTTTGCAGAAAAATTTGCTGAGCAAAGTGTTCTCTTTATCAGCAGCCATGGAATTAATTTCTTTTTGAGAACACTTGAAAAATATGCACCTCATTTACTGAGTGCATATCCTCTGGATGTCACCAGCAGTAGTCAGAGTTGAAGGTATAAAGGTAAATGAGTTCCCTTGGAAGCTTATACTCCATCATCAGAGATGGTGTGTATTTGTACATCTACATAGTTATATGAGTATATTGATGCGTAGATAGAATTACAGAATACTATGATACTATGGAATCACAGCAAAGAGAGGGTTAAATCTAGGAGGAGAATTGAATGGAGGCATCCTAAGGAAAGTGTCCTTTTCTCTAGGTCTGAGAAAATGAGAAATCATTTCTAAGAGAACAGAGCACACAGAATATTAACTAGCAAACTACTGCCTGTGGACCTGCAGCCCATTTGCATAGAGCTTTATTGAAGCACAGCCGTGCCCCTTTGTTTACTTGTCTGTAGCTGCTTGTCAAGTCAAAGTGTGCAAAACCTAGATTGTTTACTCTTTGGCTTTTTACAGAAAGTTTGCGGATCACTGTTATAAACAAGTCACTCAGTGAGTGTATAGAGGATCAGGTCATCTGCAGATAATGATAACTTAACTTCTTATCCTGTACACATCCCTTTTCTTCTTCTTGCCTGCTTGTTCTTGATAATGCTTTGAGTATTTTGTTGAACTGGAGTGGTGATAGCAGACGTCTTTGTCTTGTTCCTGATTTTAGAGGGAAGCTTTTGGTGTTTTCTCATTGAATATGGTGTTGGGAGTTGGTTTCTCACAATTGGCTTTTATCAGATTGAGATACGGTCCTTTTGTATCTATTTTCTCCAGTGTTTTCATCATGAAAAGGTGCTGGATTTTTTAAAAGTTTTTTCTTCATCTATTGAGATGACCTTGTGATTTTTGTCCTTTCTTCTGTTTATTCGATGGATTACATTTGTTGATTTGTGTATGTCCTGGAATTAAGCCTGCTTGATCATGGTATATGATCTTTCTGATGATTTATTGCAGTCTATTGGCCCGTATCTTGTTGAGGATTTTTATATTCATAGTCATTAAAGAAATTGGTCTGTAGTTCCCTTTTTTGATTGGGTCTTTTTCTGGTTTTGGAGTTAGGGTAACTGTAACTTCCAAGAATGACTTTGAGACTGCTCTTTCCCTTCTAACTTGTTTAAAAAGTTTGTGAAGTACTGGTGTTACATGTGCCCTGAAGTTTTTGTATAATTCAACAGTGAATCCATTCGAACTTGGGCTTTTATCAGTTGGTAGGTCTTTTATTATTGCTTCAATTTCATTGCCATAACTGGATTATTCAGGGTTTTAAAATCTTGGCTCAATTTTGGTAATTTGTATATATTCCCATTTTGAATAATTCATGTGTGTGGCTCTTGGTTCCCTCCTCTTTGACCCCTCAGAGATTAGCTTTGGAGGATTTGGGAGTTTTTGGAGACTTTGTTTTGTTTTTGTTTTTCTTCGGTACCAGCAATCGAACTCACGACCTTGCGCTTGCCAGGCAGGCGCTGTGCTGCTGAGATAAATCCCCAGCCCTTTTGGAGACTTTTTGGGGTTCGTATTTTCACGTTTCTCGTTTTGTTCGTTGGTCTTTTTCCTGTGGAGGCTTCACGGTGACTGTAGGAGAAAGCCTTTTCCTAGTTTGAAGACCTCTTTAGTTAATACCCGTTTTTCAGTGATGTACCTTTGCATAGTTATTTTGCCTCTGTCTCTGGTTCCATCACCTCTGCTTACTCAAGATGGGAGGTTATAGCATATTTGGCCCCTTACCCTATTTTCCAGGAATGGGCCACAGTGTTGTGGATGACCCCAAGGCAATCCAGATACTGCATCCCATGAACACCAACTAGTAGTGACAGCTGTGACACCTTGGCTATATTAACACCACCAGCATCAATTATAGAATCACATAGAGACCGAATATTGATAAGATGTAGGGAACTATTAATAAAGTACACCCTTAATCTTAGAAGAGAGATCTATAATTATAGTATGACCCTGAAGACAAGCCAAATTTGTCCTACTTTGACCCATGGTAAATATCTACTAAATGAAACCACCTTGCCTCTACTAGCAATAGAGCAGTGTTCCCAGCAGCAGCATAGAGTTAGCCAGCTAGCTACAGATTCGTGAGCCTTAGTGGTTATACTAGGAAAATTAGATGATTTGGGGAACCAAGAAATGAAAAAGCAAAATTTGAAAAATTCATCATTGAGATTTGAGGAAAGGACCTGTGGAGGATTAAAAAGAAGTCAGTGGTCCTGGAGAGCAGTAGTAGGAAACAATGAACAAGAAGGAGGAGAAGAAGCAAAGCAGAGAGCAAAGATGGGAAAAGAGAAAAGAAACTGAAAGGAAAAAAAGAGGAAGAAAACCCTCTAAGCCCCCACAAATCTGAAGGAAAGATAAAAATAATACAAAATAGCAAACCAAAAATGGATTGAGTCAAAGAAAAAGCCCGTGTGTTATTGAATGCTTGTTTTCTTCCAAGGTCTGCAGTCGCTTGGGTCCAGTGAGTCATGATTTTCTATGCCTAGCTTTAGGGCCTATGTTTTGTTTGAATTTTGTTTGTTTGTTTGTTTGGTTTTTGTCTAACCTTGATCTCACTGTGTGAGGCCCAGGCTGGCCTGGAACTCATTCGTGGTGATCCTCCTGCCTCAAGGCCCCTGCTATACTTGGCCTTGTTTAGATTTTTGAGATAGTCTCAATATGTAGTTGAGGTTGGCCTTGAACTTGTAGTGATCCTCCTGCCTCAGCCTTCCAAGTGCAGGTGTGGATCATCACATCTGGCTAGGATCTATGGGTTCTTGAGGTGCCCTCTGTGTACCAGAGGCCCCTCTGTTTTCCCCAGAATCTGGTTACCATTCAAGCCAAGTGGTTACTTGCTCCTACTGTTAGATGGGGGATTCAGTCTGCCCTCTGGTCTCTGCTGGATTTGGAGTGCCCTGTTAGACTTAGTGTCTGTAGTTCTCTGACTCAGTTTAACACCTACCTCAGACCAATTGTGCTTTATCTGTGGCCCCCTGTACTCTCTCACGTCTAGGTCATATTGAAGCAAGTCCAAGGTTTCAGATCACTTAGCCTGAAATGTGTCAGTCTAAGAGTGTTGGTTGATAATGAATTCATTCTTCTACATTAAGAAATCTCGAGGGATAACAAATCTGTCAAATTTTGTAAGCCTATAAAGGTATTCATATAATAATGTTTTTCATAAGTGAGGAAAAATACTTTGGATTTCAAAAGTCTAGCATTTCTTAGTTTGTTTTAATTACTTCTTTGTCATCCGGTAGTTACGGATTCGAGACCTTGAAGGAGCTTTGCAAGTAGAAAAGGCTAGCCAAGCAGAAGCTGTTGCTGATTTGGAAATGATCAAGAATGAATTCAAGGAAGTTGAAAGTGCTTATGAGAGAGAAAAGCAAAACGCACAAGAAGGCTTCGCAAAACTAAATGTGTAAGTACTTCCCTGAAATTCTTTGAATTATTACGAATGTTTTCTGAAAGCTATTTAAGTATGCATATGTAATACTTTATTTAACTCCATATGTGTCAATATATCGCCACTTCGGCATGCAGGTGATGTAACATTTGAGATGTTTTCCACTGGTTTTTCTCTTCCTAAGTGTTTGAAATGTGTGTGTTTTACTTTCTACACCTTCCCCTTGGGGCTGGCCCCATTTTGGCTGCCCAGTGGCTCTGTGTGGCTAATGCCATTGTCCTGGGCCATTCAGACTTAGAGGCTTAGGTGAAGTCAGGACTAGGATAGATGTGGGGGATCAGGGTTCAGGTGGCCTGGTACTGAGATTAGATTAGATTTGCTTTCTTCACTGTGTACATAACTACAGTGCTCTCTGCTGTCATTAAAACACCCATTGCCTTTTTCTGTGATCTTGTCCTACTGTCGGAGTGACCAATCATAGCACTCAGCAAAATCTGATGTGTATTCTCTCTCCCAAGAGAGTGTGAATGCATCAAAGTAAACATAATTCATTTACTTACCCAGGTTTCACTATAGTACAGTTTTTACCTCAGTAAACTTTTGCTGAATAGATTTCTTTGGTTGATGTAGAATCCTTCTACTATTTATGTAAATCAATAAATGTAATACACTATATTACAGAGCTGAGGACAAAAATCGTATGGTCATCTCAACAGATGCAGAAAAAACATTTGACAAAGTCCAGCACTCATTCATGATAAAAACTCCACAGAAAATTGGCATAGATGGTCTTTATCTCAGTCTGATAAAAGTGATCTATGACAAAGCAACAGCCAGCACCATACTAAAGGGACAAATACTGAAAGCTTTCACTCTAAAATCAGGAACAAGGCAAGGATGTCCACTATCACCACTCTTACTCAATATAGTTCTGGAAACTTTAGCCAGATCAATTAGACAAGAGAAAGAAATAAAAAGAATAAGGATAATGTAATGGTTGATACATTGTGTCAACTTGAGAAGTTTAGAGGCTTAACTAAGGGACTCAGCAGGGGGCCAGGGTCCTCACTTTGTAAACATTCTGATCCTGTGCAAGAGAAGGGCACGGAGGTGTTGTGGGTGCAAAGGACCCATTCTAGTTTGGAGAACCTGTGTAGAATATAAGGGAGGAAAAGAGGCTTGCTTGCCCTACTTTTGCTCTTGCTGTTTTGGCTGTCTTCTGCTGCCTTGAGCTGTTGCCCCTGTGCCATGCCACCCTCCTTTGGAGCCAGCTGATTATGGACTGAAACCTCCACAAACTGTGAGCTAAATGAACTTTTTCTTCTTTAACTTTGGAGGTCGGGTCTTTTGTCTCAGCAATGAGAGAAAAGTACTTTAGCTGTAGCTCTCATTAATGTTAGTGGTAGATTGGGGGTACAGAGTTTCATAAAACATGGCTATACTTCCTAGTACAGAAAATTTGGTAATGCTTTTTGGATTGTGAAGTATTCCAAGAGTCCCAGGGATGCAGTTGCTAGAAAGTAAATATATAAATGTGTTTTGCATTTTGTTTATTCATTTATTTATTTGAGACAAGGTCTTGCTATGTTGCTCAGGCTGGTCTTAAACTCTTGGGCTCAAGTGATCCTCCCACCTCAGTCTCCTGCATAGCTGGGACTGGACTAGAGGTGGGTGCCACTGCAGCTGGCTGCAATATATTTATTAGTGCAATGCACAATCTTTAAAAACCTTGATTTCTAGGCCACATGTGGAAATTGTTTCAGATTTTCTTGAACTACAGAAGTAATAATAGTAGCAATACTACTACTAGTAGTTGACATGCATTGTGGCTTACTACATATATAGCATTTCATTTAATCTAACACCTTATGTGTTATTTTTTTAATCCCTTGCCTTGCAATTACTTATATCTGCATTATATGTGTCTCCCAAACAGGATTCAATTAATTCTTTTCTCTTTCTGTTCTTTCAATAGAGTTTGCTTTGCAGGTCCAGAGTACTTTATTTTTTGTAACTTTATAGTATATTTTATTGTAATCTATGTTGTGCATTGTCTGTCTTATATGGAAAGGAACTTTATTCATGCATCGTGAAGAGTAGTGCCACGTAAGAGCAGCTACATAAAGATTTCCTGTGTCAACAAATGAAAGAATAATGATTGCCTCATAAGTTGAATTGGTTTCGTGGTATTAGCCGGTGCTTAGTCATTATCATGTGTTTATGTGATTACCAGTCACTACATTATTATTATTTTTTTTAATGGAACATTTTATTTAACTTTCCATAGTTCAGCTGGACATTCATTCGTTTCTAGTGTTTAGGAAGTCTAAAGTCATTTGGTTGCTGATATTTTGTATATAGTCCTTGGTTTTCTCTGGACACTTATATAGTGTCCACCAGCTCTGAAATCATAAACAAATGTGTAAAATGGTTTAATGATGTTGGATTATAATACAAGATAAAATAACAACATATGTGTATTTCCATACTCTGTGGACACTGCAGAATCTTCTCTTTGTTCTAGTGTTCTGAAATTTTGTGATGATGGGCCCAGCTGAAGCTGTTTTTCTTTCACTTTATGGGGTACTTACTGAACTCTTTCTATTTTAGATACTTATTTTTGGAAAATTCTTTTATATTACTGTGTTGTTGATTTCCATTTTTAAAAACTTATTTATATGTTGAGACTCCTGGATTTATTTTCTGATTTTCTTACCTTTTCTCTACTTTGATCCATTTTTATTCCTTCCTGGTACTTTCTGAAAGATTTATATCACTAGATCCAGTTCTTCTACACATGTAGCTAATTTACCTTGATAGAAAAGAGAATATACAAAATAGGTATCACTAGAATTGTCTCTTTTCAACCCTGGAGAAGAGTATGTTGTCTGTTCACAGTAAGGTCATATATCACTCAAAAATTAGCTTCTTATTTGATTATAGCTTGAATGTAGTATGGATTCGGTTATGTGGAATCACTCTGTTTCCTTGAATTACAGCTTAAAAATTAGAGGAAATGGATTTACTACTTTTATCAGGAAGGCCACAGATTAAAACTCGTGACAACACTTTAATTTGAATTAGAAGTACTTATCTAGAAGTAATACTTCCAAACTGCCTTTCATCATATGTCTATGTAAGAATATCAATACAGTTTAATGCTTTCTTGGTTACTTTTCTCTTGTTGCTAAGACAAAATACCTGACACCCAAAATTAAGGAAGGAAAAGTTTATTTAGCTCACAGTTTGTGGAGGTTTCAGTCTGTACCCAGCTGGTTCCAAGGCAGAGTGGCACATGGCAGAGGGTAACAGTTCATGGTGGTGGAAAACAGCAAAAGCAACAGGAGCAAAAGGGTGGCAAGCATCCTCTTTCCCTTGCTTACACTGTATGCAAACTACCTGCCCCAGGGCAGGTGTAGCATATCCATAATTCCAACGCTGGACCACGAATCAATTGTAAACTCCAGAAGCCTGCACCATGACTGCATGAGGCTTTGGGGGCACACCCAAACACAAACCAAAACAAATGCCAACCTGAGAAACATTTAAATAGGAAGACAGATCCTTTGAAAAGAAATTCATGTGTTTTCAAACTGGACATGAGTGATTTTTGAATATTCTTCCTTTTGGATTTTTCATGCTATCACACCAGTTCTACTTGCATGGACACTCAGAAATAAAATAGTTGCTCCATTTCTATCATTGCATGTTCTGAAATGGTTTATTAGAACTATTTTCTCAGTCTTGAGGCAGTTTCTGACCTAACTGAACTGTGGTAGGCGGATTTTGTTCATCAAAAATAACGGGGAGACCGCATCAACACTAACTAAATCTATTTGGTTTGTAACCTTGGACATAGTATAAATACCTGCTATCAAAAGGGAAGTATTATTGCTTTAAACTCTTTTAATTTGGGAAAAAAAGAAAGGTGGGCTTTAAAAAGCCTTTTGGTGTGAGAAAACATATAGTACATTAACTGTTTGTGTTAAAGAGGTATCACAGAAATTGATAAAAAGCATATTTGAAAGACCTGCTCTGACACTTTAACTTTTCAGGTTGGAAAGAGAGTATTTCTCCAAAAACAAGAAACTAAATGAAGAGATCGAGGAACAGAAGAAAGTAATTATGGACCTTTCAAAGAGACTTCAGTATAATGAAAAAAGTTGCAGTGAATTACAGGAAGAACTTGTAATGGTAAGGATAAAAAAGAAAACCCTATGGCAGTTACTTTATTGGGTCATATTTGATGTGTATCAGATTTCCCACTCCCCTCACTGTGTACCGTGAGATACTAGTATGAAAGTAATTTTAGTGACATTGGCATAAAATTTCTAAACTGGAAATGCTAACTACATCAAGTAAAATATACCAAATAAAACCTTTCTGATTTGGATACTTGTGGAAACTAACTGAATTAGTAAAAATTCTGAGTTATAAAATATTTTAAAATGTATCCAGGGTTATTTTCTTTTTATTTAAAGTGCATAAAACAATATTACCTAAGTAGAGGGAATGAGGCTTTATAATCAGACTCGGATGTTTCAAAGAGTTCATTTTGTAATCATTCTATAACTGATCATTCTGTCTCCATTCCCCAGTAATCTAGCTTTCACATCACCAGCAACTTTTTTTTTATTTTTTATATTGGTCTGTCCTTGTCAGCTCCCCTTATTTAAAAACTCTCAGTGTCTCTTGTTTTCAGAATAGAGTCCAGCTTGTCACATTATGCTCTTTTTCATTTTGGCTCCATGCTAACTTTTTTCAGCTGTTTCTTTTGCCTTTGGCCATTATTTGTCTTGGATTAGTCACATGTGAGTGCTCCTGGCTTTTTAAACATATACTTTCATACCTTGTTCAGGCTATGATTATTTTGACCCATATACCACTAAAATGCTCCTTCTTTTCTTTTCCATTAACAAATTCCTGTTTATTCTGTAATAGCCAGCTCTAATATTTTCATTATATTACCACCTACCTTAAGTCAGAATTCTTCTCTTCCCCAGCTGTATTTGTAATACTTAGTTTAGCAACTTTATCATAAGTCACCAAAATCTGCTGTGTATTATCTCTCCCAAGGGAGTGTGAATGCATCGAAGTAAGCATAATTCATTTTGCTTACCCAGGTTTCACTATAGTGCAGTACAGCTCTTACCTCAATAAAATTTTGCTGAATAGCTTTCTTTGGTTGATGCCGAGTACTCCTACTCTGCTGTCTGTTGGGAATCCCAACAGGGTGACGTAAATGTGATAGGAATACCTTGTTACCTTATCTTGTTCCCCACACACATACCTTCCTCACACTTTCAGCTGTGCCCCATGACTCTTAATGATTTCAATTATTGAGGAAAATGAATATTGTGTTTCCTTCTCAGAAAAGGTGAATACTCAGGATTATACTGTGATTTGATGACCAAATAAGTGCTTCCCAGATAGAAAGGTAATCATGGGATTAAATTGAAATTCTGCAGCATTTTCAAAGATTCCTTATTATACATAGTCTCTACCTCAAGATGTCCAGTGTGTTCTGATTTTGAAATTGATATCATTGCTTGCTCTGTGGTTCAGTTGTGATTTGGGTATTTTGAGTGTGGCGTTTTTAGTAGGAGCTCTCTCTGTATACTCCAGTGTTTATTCACTGTTATGTGTTACCCCAAATTTATTAGGCCGTCCTTTCCCTTTTTATTTTTATTTTTCTGTAATGGAGATTAAGCCCAGGGTCATGTGTATGCTAGGCAAGCTTTTTACCACTGAGCTGTAACCCCAGTGTCTGTCCTACCTCTTAACTCTGGGCTCAGGAAGAAGAGTCAGTGGTAGAGTAAAATGTGTCCAGGTCATTAACCTGAGTACTGGATTTGGCATGCTTGCTTATCAGACTTTGTTCCTGGTAGTTTGGAAAATGACCCAGAGTTCTAACTGAGTGTGCATTAGTTAAGACGTCATCACCAGTGTAAGTTGCATTAATTCTTCTAATTCTGGCCTTCTACAATTCCAGTGAGTAGATGCAAAAAAAAAATGAGACTGACTGAATTTACCACTGAACATAGGGTGTTTTTTTTTTAATTTATTTTATTTTATTTTATTTTTTCCGGTACTGGGAATCGAACTCACGACCTTGCGCTTGCCAGGCAGGTGCTTTTGCCACTGAGCTAAATCCCCAGCCCCTACATAGGGTGTTTGATGGTTAAAAAAATGGAACTTATGGCCGATAGGTGTTTTTTTTTTTGAACTTATGGCCGATAGGTGTTTTTTTTGAACTTATGGCCGATAGGTGTTTTTTTTTGAACTTATGGCCGATAGGTGTTTTTTTTTTGAACTTATGGCCGATAGGTGTTTTTTTTTTGAACTTATGGCCGATAGGTGGTTTTTTTTTTGAACTTATGGCCGATAGGTGTTTTTTTTTTGAACTTATGGTCGATAGGTGTTTTTTTTTGAACTTATGGCCGATAGGTGTTTTTGAATGTTCTTACAGTTTGGTTGATGGTCTAAAATGAGGCAGGTTGCAGCTCACCAGCAACCTTTGTTTGCTTGACACACATCCCATAAGTGCTGTTGGTTTGGTAACAGTTGTGACAATTGTAGACTTTTGTTTCTTCAAAATTTGATGGATTGCTAAAAGCAGTTACAGATCTTTGAACAAAAGTTTCTTGCTGAAGAGTTAATAGGGTGTTAAAAAACTATTCAGGTAATGACTAAGTAATGTATAGCTTATGTGGTTCAAAGTAATTAATATGTTTCTAATTTTTTCCTCTTTTAAAATCCTATCTTTGTCTCCCATCTTTCTTTTTATTTGCTTTTCTCTTTGATTGTTTTATGTTTTATTCTTACTAGTAATATTGTCTTTATTTCTTTCCCTGACTGTATATGAAATTTAAAAATTATTTAATGAAAATTTATTGAATGCAAATACTATTTATTAATTTAAATAGTATAGTTTTCCTTTTATAAAATTATTGTTTTTTGTAATTACATTTTTTCTTTTATATATTCCTTTATTGATTTTTTTTTCCTCGAATAGGTTAGTGTCCTTTAGGGAAAAATGGTTTTAAAATTTTCTTTTTTTTGGTGATACTAGGAATTGAACCCAGGAGTGTTCTACTACTGAGCTACATCCCAGGCTTTTTAGGTTAGAGTTTTTCTAGGTTACCCAGGCTGGCCTTGAACTTGCTATTCTCCTGCCTCAGCCTCCTGAGTAGCTTGGATCATGGATGTGAGCTCTTGCTCCCAGCTAAAAATTTTTGAAATTGGATGTGGTAGCATTTTACCTGTAAACCTAGCATTCTGGAGGCTGAGGTAGGATTGCAAGTTCAAGGCCAATCTGGTAAACTTAGCAAGACTTTGTCTGAAAGCAAAAAGTGAAAAAGGGCTGGGGACTTAGTTCAGTAGTAGAGTGCTGAACTGAATACCCAGTACTGCCAAACAGACAGACAAACCTCAGGAACTCCAAAACAGCAACAACCACCCCTTCTAAAGAAGTATCTATCAACTTAAACATTTAAACCCATTGACGGGAAATTGTCCTTGTGCTATACCCTTGAAGTCTAGCTGATGTTTTGAATTAATTTTTGTTGAGTGCAGAGAAATGACATATGAAGCAGCATCTACCTTTTGATTTTTTGCCTTTATTTTTTTCATTTTGTAAATGAAATTGTTTTCATGATATCCCATGATCTTATGTATTCTAGTGTGTCAGTTCAGACAGTTATTTACCTACAGGTAATTTTTCTCTCCCTTTGAGCTAATAGCTTGTTTTCTAGTTTAGGTCATGTTCAGGTCCATTTTTCAAGTCTGGGTTTTATTTTCTCTGTTGCCTTGGAAGAGGAAAAGCCACTTTCCTCATGCATTTTCTGTTGATATCAGGGTGTTGTTAATAAGATTCATAGGCTTCAGGAAAATTTGAATCTTAAAAAATGACACTTGTATAATTTGGTACAGCATAGACTTTCAGAGCTGAAAGGGCCTTTAAAGCTCATCTGTATACACAAGCTGTTAAGAAACTAGTCGGAAAGTGATTGCTGCACAGCTTCAGGAGGTACAACATATGGAACATAATTTTGGAAAAGTCCAAACTTGTTAAAGTCAAAAATCCTTTGAGATATTTAGCAATATAAACCCAGTTGACTTTGATTGTAATAAAATTCTTTCTGTCTAATGTCTGGATTTAAATGATATGATTAATAAATTAATGATAACTGTTATTATCTTCAATGGCAGAGAATTAATGGAATTCCAACCTAGAACACCTAAGGACTTAACAAAATTATTTTCATTTTCACATGAACAAGAGAATACAGAACGTGAAATGACAGAATTTTGACTTTGAAAGGTTTTACTAAAAATTGAGCTTTTAATTTCAAAATCTGTGAATTTGATAATTATTCGCTCAGCTACCAGATGAAACTGAATTTCTAGTGTAAGTTGCTTAGCAGACAGGCTTATGAGGTTCAGTGGGTCAGATGGGTCTTTTGGACATCACTGTGTGTTTTGATACCTGCTTCTTTTAAAGCAGGGGAGCTTTCATTTTCAAAATGGTATTATTAGGACTTGCTTTGTGCTTCAATGAAATTTTCTTAAGTCCATCATTTCTTGAGATTTGCTTTTCTGCCACTCAATAATATTTAGTTACCGCTCTAAGAGAGACTGTATATTGGAAAGGGAATTCTGGTTGTCAAGAGGTTTTGCTCAAAGAATGTTTTATTCTCTGAAGCACTTCTGATTGAAAATGGTCAAGTGTATATGTTTTCCTATACTTTGGGGGCCTACCTGATTGTATATAATAATAATGATTGCTAGTACTGGATAGGATTTTGAAATTTGTTGTACGTTGTGGTGAAGGTAATGTTTCTTGGTAATATTTTTGCTTCAGATGTTCTTTTAGGTTGCTTTAGGACATGTTTGTCATCTTGTAGGATGTGTTCAAAGCTAACGGGCTAATAAAGGTTCTGTTCTTAATTTTTGCTAAATAAGTGTTCATTCTTGTTTGTCACTAAGAATAATAGTATGTATATTCACAGGTCAGCATTGTTTTTGCTGATATAAACATTACTTTTAGTCTTAGTGGCCCTTAAATTTTTATACTATGAGTTTAAGTGTTCATTGTATGGGGCTGGCTCCCTAAATTTATGGTGTGGGCTTAAAGCTTTTTTATTGAAGCTTTTTGAAATTTATTTCCATATAAATTAGTAAATTTTGGAGAA